GGTGGAACATCTTTCTACATCTGACGGTGGAACATCTTTCTATATGACGGTGGAACATCTTTCTACAGCTGATGTTGGAGCATCTTGAAACTTGGGTAAACTTGGGCTGGTTTGCTCAAAAAGCAAGATGAACCGTTGCTCTGCCAGGATTCTTGTAACTCTCTCGTTAAAGCTTCGATGTGTTTTGTTTCATGATTGCTGTTGAGAGGCGTGTTGGGATGCTGGTCTGTATTCTACCATCAGGGCGGGTTAACAAAGCTTTTACTGCAGGTGTTACAGACTCACAGCTCATGTGTCCTGGTGTTAGTGATCATACCTGGGATAGGGCCCAAACAGCTGGGTTCTAGTCCCGCAGCACAGAGCAAAGCAAACACACAAGAGCAGCGTTAGAGCAGAGGAACTGGGTTAATGTCTGTTATCACAGAGACAGAAGAGCAGCGGAGAGGTGAAGGTTCACACTCTGTCTGACGCTTACAGCAAACCGAAGAGCTCCCGGTAGTTCTCGTCACCTTTCCCCTCGGACACCAAACTGTCCAGCTTGTCAATCAGCTCAGCCTCCACCTGCATGCACACACATGGAGAACCCTCCTCTGTGGTTTCATTGAAGCCAGCGTTGCACTGAAACAGATGTGTGTGTGTGTGTGTGTGTGTGTGTGTGTGTGTCTGCACACGTTGACGTACCTGCTTGAAGTTTCCGTTCTTGCGCTGCTCCCAGTCCATCATGTCGTGGAAGATGGGGATCATGATGTTTCGAACCTCCACCTGAGGGACCAGGGTCACTCCCAGGAACGGGCCGATCATCCCGGGGATGAAATGGATCTTGTTCTCACCTTCAACCACCAAACACGTTTCAACACGGTTTCAGATACATGTAGCCAATCAACCATAGCAGGGAGGAATGATTAGCTTCAAACAAGACCTGAACACAGGTTTCCACCTGACCTCCTCAGAGTCACCTGTTTCTAATCTACAGTAACTTCAGTACATTTAATGAGGCCACACAAAGGTTTACCTGAAACCAAACGAAGTCTACGTCCGCTCCAGGTGTCACAGTCCAAAGACAAGAACCAACTTAAAGCATCAGTATTATTCTTCTGTGTCAAAACTGTTCCCCTCAGAGTGGATCCTGTCTACAGATGGTCCTGGTAGGTTCTGGAGGTAAACCTTCCATTGTCTAGAACTGGTTCTGACCAACCACCATCACACGTGCTGCTATGAGCCTGGAAAGATTACCCAGAATGCACTTTGTAAAGTTTCCTCTGGTGAATGATCAGAACCAGAACCACATCCAGGGTACCAGTTTAATGTCTATGACTCTATGTCATAGACATTAGACTAGTAACACGATGAGACATCCCATAATACTGATGCTACCAGCTGCTGACAGAGGACATGAACAGAACCAGGTCCAGTGTTCAGACTGAGACACCTGGATGGATGTAGAACTGATCTGGTGTCAGGTTCTACCAGAACTCAGATGTGTTCTTCCTCCTAAATGTCACGTGTCTATCTGCTGTACTGATGAAGTTCTGAGGCTCAGAAATGATGGAAAAAGTCCATTAAGGTGATAAATCTGGACCCTCCTCTGTGGACTTCAAGGACCTGGAACTCTGGAACATTCACAGTCTGAAGGTAGAACTCTGATCAGTAGATAAAGGTTCTGCAGATACAGAACCAGGTGTTCTGAGGAGGTTCTGATGGAGGACTGTCGGATTTTTCATTGAATAAACTCAGAATAAAGATATTTTCATGTGAGAGAAGCTGAGGTGGGTGTTGGATCTTACCGAGGTTCTGCCACATGCTGAACAGCTCATAGGTCATCATCACCCTCATGTCACCGTACCTGCAGACACCAAGCAGTGTGTTTACATACGGGTCGGTCAGACGGTGGTCCTGACGCACCGTCACGGACTTGGTTCAGAGTTCACGTAAAACTAAGTTCTGAACTATGAGAATTTAATGTTTTCTGACATGAATGTTGGATTATCAGCCTCAAAGCAACGTCTTAAAGCTCCAGTATCTCAGAAATAAAACTCCAACAGCCCTGAAACATGGAGACGCAGACAAAAAAGATCCAAACAGTTTGTTGTTGTTGAGCTCACGTATTGTTTCTGAGCCTGGAGGAGGAACAGGCAACCGATACGCTGTGTTTCTGCTTTTATAAGTGTGTGTCTCGGCAGGACTGTACGAGAAGGCGTCTGCTGCTGTGTTACTTCTTCACCACCGTCACGTGTTTGTGTTCTTACTTGTCCAACACCTTCTTCCTCTTGGCCGGACTCAGGTTCTCCAGCTGCAGACTGGGCTGGTTGATGTACAGCACCGCCAGACTGAAGTAGGAGTTCCACACCTGCTCTCACACACACACACACACACACACACACACACACACACACACACACCCACACACACACACACAGGTGGACACGTCAGAACTAACAGCTGATTCTATCGTACAGTAAATGAAGGTTTAGCTCATGGCTGCAACATAAAGCTGACGTAGGCAAAACCTTTTCAGCTGTTTTAACGGGTTGAGTTGACACAATAGCCACACTCACACATTTTGGGACTGTCCAAATTATTCTGGGAGGGGATTCAGGCGGAAATAGGATCCATCTCAAGTGTTGATTTGCCACGACGGATAAAAAAAAAAAAAGTCGTCTATATCACACATCCTGCTATTGGTGGCAAAGAAGCGATAAGCGTGCCGTGGCTCAGCCCACCACCCTCCACCAGCGGAGAGAGAGGTTAAAGAAAGTGGATTTAATGGAAAAGAAAACAGCAAAAATCCATTTGAAGCTAAGTTCCTTTATGAATTTGTGGGCTCCTGTTACTGCTTGCATATCTTTACCCCCCCCACCCTTTTAATTTATTTTTATTTTTATCTTTAAACTTCATTTGAAATTCTCCTCTTCCTGTGGGTTCAGACGACGCCATGAGTTGGTTGTGTTTGTGTTTGTCCATTAATGTATGCTTTCGTTTGTCTGTTCTTGAGCTGCATATAAATATACATAAAAACATG